TGAATGTGGGCTAAAAGTCGACCAAATACAGGCATAAGGACCGTACGTGAATGTGGGCTAAAAGTCGACCAAATACAGGCATAAGGACCGTACGTTCTATTCTGTATCTACTAATTTATAGACTAGAAGTTGCCCCAACAAACACAGATATGATGACCGTGCGTTCTATTCGGGGGAAGACAGTACGAGAGCCTCCACCAAAGGTGACCAAAGGTGGGAGATTAAGACTCAACCGGTTATCAGGGGAAGTAATCAGATCGAAACAGTCAGCCGGCTACACACACGCACACAGGTTCCATCAGATGCTGCTCTCCCTGCCACTACATTGGCAGCCATCTCTCTTTCCCTACCTTATCAGGCAAGGCCTCAATTTGCGGGACGCTCTTCCATCACGAAAATGGACGCTTGTCTCAAGCACGTTCCCAGACACAGTAGAAAAACGGAAGCGCAAAGAAGACGAAGAAGAATAGTTAATAGTCATAAAAATAGAGGGACGAAGAAGAATAGTACTTAATAGTGATAAAAACAGAGGCCATAGACCGTCTTTCGTGCACGCTCTGGCATATGTTGCACGTGTTAGCTCTATAATTACCACGGTTATCCGAGTGGCAAGGAGACCACCAAATAAATGATAACAGATTTTATTTTTTTAATGACCCATTCGCAGTTTCATTTTTTTTTTACATATCCACATGCACTGAGCTCAGAAGAAAGCGCGCTCATTGCCCTACACGCACGTTTCATCAGTCAATGGGGAAGCCCACCTGGGAGTCATCAGGGGGGGGAGGTTCCCCCAGATCCACCTTTTACGGCACCCAGCTTCTGTCTGTCCGCGAAGAAGTAAAAAGGGCCTAGCCACACAACAGTCGAAATGAAAAAGTACCGAGTGCATGTTACCGCAGAGGGTGGCCAGATGCGTCCAATACTGTGAATACTAGCGGATGCATCTTGCCACTTTCTAGGGAAGATGCGCTCGTACATTTTTCGTTTCCACAATGGAGTGGCCAGGTCCAAAGGGAAATAACGAGGCTGATCGCTACACATCCATGCATGTCAACACCAGAACCTACATACTTCCTGAAAAAAAAAAAAAGGCAGTAGACGCTCATAACGCGCACATTCAATGCAACCGTCAGATAGATGACACAACAGGGACAGCCCAGACTGTCACACAGCAGAAGAGGCCGGGGGTCTACACAATATATTAGAGCGGGACGGACGGCTCACATACAAGAAGCGTGGTATGGGCACTCAATTAGTGAAAACCCTAGAACGAATGAGCTCCGAAATGAAAGAAATTTGAAATTTCCCAGAAACAACATGGATACATCCCTCAAGCTGTAGGCTGCCCAAGACAACCTTATAGGGTCTGATTGCACAGGTCTTATTACCCCCGTAACAAAAGTGGCCGTGAAAACGGGTCAACACATCCCCCGTAAATACCACCATCCAGTGGGTCATTCTCTGATCATACGTTTTCAAATCTTACCTTCTGGCGATTCCTCTCTTCCCTTCTGTTACTTAATATCCTTTCCCCATCGTAAGTGATTGTAGCTCAGACATCCACTCGCCGGTTTGCAAAAACAGTTCTCTCTCTCTCTCTCTCTCTCTCTCTCTCTCTCTCTCTCTCTCTCTCTCTCTCTCTCTCTCTCTCTCTCTCTCTCTCTCTCTGTGTGTTGTCATATTCGCTATACACTCAAAAAAAGCATGACTGTACCAGACTGTTTGGTCGGACTTTCACCGACTCATCAGGAGGTCTGTGTGTGTGTGTGTGTATGAGCAGAAATCTGAGCGCAGGAATTCTCTCTGCCTCCTTCGCTGAACTCTGGTTTGCCCATCCCGTTTCCAAAACCACGTATGCCCCCGATTTATGGTCGTGATTTTGGTACCAACCCTCGTGCCATTCTGTCGGGGTCTAGGGTAGACCACACACTAACTGTGCGAATCCGATTCTCCCTCTCTCTCTGTGTTTTGCACGCGCTCCCAACAACATCCACATCCCTCCGCTCCCTCCGCTTCCCCGCCGCCCTACCTCTTCGGAAATTCCTCTCTCTCTCTCTCACTTCGTGACAGGTGCATGCTCCTCGCACGGAGCCAAAGTGACTGTGTTCAAACTCTCAATCCATTCAGGTCTGAACAAAGAATAATATCAAAGAATCATTCCCCCAGTTAAACAGAGGGATTCTTATAAATGAACGCTCGAAGTTGAAATCGACAATCTTCCCGCTCATCGTCAATCTTACCACTCATCGCCAACGACGACACCTTTCCGACAAAGTGCGAAAATCGTTCCTCCCATTTCGCATTCGGCCAAATCCCCCTTCGCTACCTAGCTTGGGAGAAACAAACGAATATTATTATTATTATTATCATTATTACGGCTGCAAATTCCAATAACAATCTCGAGCTAGCCGCACAGACACATGAACGCCGACATACTCACTCGGTGACAAGCACCCACGCTCACACGTGCGCACACGCGCACAGAGAGAAAGAGAGAGAGAGAGAAAGAGAGGGAGAGAGAAAAAGAGAGGGGGAGAAGGAGAGAGAGATTGCCACACAAAGAATAAACGCAAGAAAAAGCGTTGCCAGACAAGACAAGTCCCGAGCAATTGCTGGCAAACACAGACAGATGGGCAGACAAACACACACACACAGAGATAGTAGACAGACAGATAGATAGATAGCCAGATAGATAGATAGATAGATAGATAGATAGATAGATAGATAGATAGATAGATAGATAGATAGATAGATAGATAGACGAATAGAGACAGAGAGACAGACGGACAGAAACGAAGAGACAAGTGACAGAGAGAGAGCAAGGCAGAAAAAATACGGTATGAATCCTCCTATCATTCACTCGAGAACCTACAGTAACAAGTAAGGATTGTAGCGTAAAACTACCCGGGGGATCAACGAACCCTAATTCCTCCCCCCCTCTCCCGCCGCCCCCCTCCCCCCAACACACACATTTTACCTAATTGGCTCCCAGTTTAGCCGCGCGATTGCCCAGCACGAGAGGACAAGATAATGCCGACAATCAGCCCGTACAACGCCAGCGCCTCGGCGAAAATGAGGATGAGAATCATTCCCACGAAGAGCTTCGGTTGCTGCGCGTTGGCTCGAACTCCCGCGTCTCCGACGATTCCGATGGCCATGCCGGCTGAGAGGCCTGCCAGCCCACATGCCAGTCCAGATGACAAGTGCGCGTAGCCGTCGAACAGATAGTACGCCTTAGCCTTCGGATTGATGCCGGTTGAAATGATGACGGCTATAATTAGCCCGTAAATTCCTAGAACTCCCGCCATAACCACTGGGACTATGGACTTCATCACCAGCTCAGGTCGCATTACACCCATCGACGCGACCCCGACACCACTCTTTGCGGTCCCATACGCCGCTCCCATACATGCGAAGACGAGCGCTGAGGAGGCGCCCAAGAAACCGAAGAAAGGAGCTGTCTCATCGCCATTGAAGTCGGCCATAGCTGATAGCTTGCTTACGAATTCGACACGTGTCACACTGGGGAAGATGCTGCTCGCTTAGCCGCTGCCAGCTGCAACCTGCTGCTGCAAGCTGCTGGCAGCTGAGTCAATCAGAGACGTGAGGATGTTACGTTGTCTCCAGACAGTGGCCGCGGAAGTAGCCACGTGTCACACGGTAGAAGATCCTTTGCTTAACAGCTGCTTACACATGTAGAAGCCGCCGCCAATCAAGAAACGGCTTTGTACCAATCACAAAGCTAAGGCCTTTGTACTCGCACTGCGACGACGACTGTTCGCTCTCGAATCTGACTGACATATTTAGGGTCCCACACCTAAGAAGACCGAACGAGAACCCTGCTCTCTGCGCGCCAAGTTGTGCGACGTCAAGACTCTGATGCTCGACGAAGCGCGGCCAGGTGGACGGACACAAGGCGCAGAAAATGAAGAGGCCAGACGGACACCCGCTGAAAAAACACTCCCACCACTACACGGTACGCACTGCTATCGTATCTCGCTTCTCTCTTCTCTCCCCTCGCTTCAGCGGTGGGGAAAAAAAAGACCGGAGGCAAGGTCCCGCTTGCACGAATTAAGAGACACTGACCGTAGATAGCAAAGATCAACGGCCGAAATTATCTCCTAATTTGCGCAAGTGGGACCTTGCCCCGGGATGGAACGTTTCTGCAGTCCCATCGGGCCTCCACCTTGCCGCCTCCTCACCAGGACGTGATGGCCACACCTCTCCCCGAATGTGCAAAATGGAACATGTATCTTCCGCCAAAACAGGGATAGGCACACTCGCCAGAGGTTTTGTTTTGTCTTCCTCACATTGCGTGAGTCATGTGGCGATGCCCACGGCTCCACCTCACCGCTCACTGGGGCTACGGAAGGCTGACGGATTATTCAGGCGAATCCGCATCATTGACGGCTATAATTATTGAGCCGGAATTTTTTGCCCTCCCCTGCGATAATTGAAGGGGACTAACGAATCAATGAAGGAGCAGAAACGGGACACACACACACACAAAAAAAAAAAAAAAAACCGAATCAATGAAGGAGCAGAAACGGTACACACACACACACACAAAAGAAAAACGAATCAGGGCACGCTCACACTAGGTACCAAATCCCCATTTCCCCGCCCAAAAAGGGTTCACGACAGTCACACATGGTGAACATCTGCCCAAATTCTCAAAAGGGGTGACCATTTGTCAGCGGCCTGCGAAGCCGCGGGGGAAGGAAATTTGCGGTAACCTCTGGAGGTTACCACAAAGAGGTTACCACAAATTCTCAAATCTTTTTCCGAATTCCGTGCAAAATTGGAGAAAAAATGGAACCCCATGATATT